AAGGTGGAGAGATGGGCCAAAAAGCTGGACCCTGAGCATAAGAGAACACACTGCTCTGTAGAGAGATCCTTGTCGAGGAGCCTTATCTATTCAAAATGGGTACTCGGGAGCATGGTCACAGTTGGGGTAACGTGGCCAATAATTTAAATAGAATTGGCCAACCACATTTTATGGTAGACCAAAGAGCAGTCCGAGACCGTTTTTTGAAGTTGGAGAGGAGCTTCAAGAGAAAGATGGCAGAGGAAGAGCGTGCTAGTGGTATCAGTCCACCAGAACCCACTGAATTAGAGCAAGCCGTCCAAGATATAATTGAAAGGGGGACTGAGGCACAGGCTGTAATGTTGAGGGTTGGGGGGAAAGTTGATGAAAAGGAAAAGGAAACTGCTGAATCTATTAGAAAGCGATCCATGGAAAGATTGGCAGAGACAAGAGAGAGGGAGAGTCAGGAAGGAGGAAAGAAAAGAAAAAAGACTGTTTGGGACAAGGACACAGAGGTGATGCATTACATGAGAGAAAAGACTGAGAGAGAGGCTGAACTAAAAAGAGAAGAGTTTGAATTAAGAAGAAGAGAGATTGAGATTAAAGAAAAGGAAATTAAGATAAAAGAGAGGGAAATGGAGAGAGAGTGGGAAATTAAGCATCGGGAGCTAGAGATTAAGGAGAAAAATTATGAGGCAAGGGTAAAGAGAGACACAGAAATGATGGCAATGTTTCAGCAGCAGCAAGGGCAAATGCAACATCAGAACCAGCTGCTGCTTGATGTTGTTAATAAATTGTTGGAAAAATCTTAATATGTTAACAGTCATAACAGCAAATACAAAAATGATTTAATTAAGGTCCCCTTTCTACTATCAACTTTTGAATAAGCCTCTTGTTATAAATTGTTGAATTTTACAAAAACAGATTCCAACTTTTTCAGAAACACATTAGAGCATATATAGTTAAATAACTGTTTACTGTTCTGTCATAGAGTGCCAGCTGTACACTCTTTGATTTATAGATTCTAAGTTGCAATTTGAGTGCATCATGCTCTAGGCTTTATATTAGGCAATGGTCCTTCCCATAAACATAACATTCAAATTTGTCGTTTTAAGTAATAAAATTTTCTCCACTCCTTTTCTATTTCGTTTTTTTTAATTCCTAAGCAAAAATTGTGATCCCAATGTGATAAAGTTATAGAGGCTTTGTTGTTAGCCACTAAACAGTTCCAGCATCTTTATATTTATTAATACCACAACAGTTATTCAATTGGTTACATCTGTTCTTTTTAACTATAGTTTTACAGTTGATCATATTTAACTGTAAACTGTAGTTAAGTTTGTTTTTAAAATGGTTTCAAATTATCTGTATTTCCTCTTCATTAGCTTCGCAATGAGTACATTTTTTGTTGTAGTTATTCCATTTTGCTTTATTAATTGAAGTAACACTCTTTAGTGAACACTTAATTGATTTTTTTTATTAAATGCTGCTGCACATAGACATTTTACTGCATCTATTTTCGAAAATGGCACACATCTTTTCCAGTTGAGAAATAATTTTTACCATATTAATGATCCAGCTATTGATGATTGGATTATAAACAATATTGATTTAGCTATTATTTCAAACACTGTTTATTTCTCAATGTGAGAGGATTTCATCAAAAAGCTATATATACTGATTTCTTTTGGAAACGGGATCCTGGTTGACCTGCATGTTGGCCTGACGGTGGCATTTGTTTTTTTAACATAAGTATAATTTACACAGGTGTAGATTATTTTTCTCTCTAAGCTTAATTTTGAGCAGCTATCATCAAGGGGGCATTTATAAACAGATGTGGCTAATAAACAGAACAGCAAACTATAATAGAGAAGGTTTGTTGAATTCTAATGCAACATGTGTGGCAATATTGAGTGTGGTGTTACTGGGATGCCATAATAACTCTGGCAATGTGGTAGTTTTTAAAAAAACTGTTTATTGTGCCTTTCTGGTTTTCAAGTCTGTGGAATCAAGTATATCTACAAGAAATACTCATTTAGTGTTGGGGGCTCGACTTCAAAGAATTTTGCAGTGCTGTTGCCATACAAGCAGGTTAAAGCATTTCTTAACAATGCACTGACAGCATAAAATTTCCCAACAGAACTGAGGCCAATCTTGAGATTTTTCTTGAAATCCACAAACTTGAAGGAGTTGATGATGTCTCCAAACACCCACTCAACAGAAATTCTGACATGACTCATTGATTGATTAAAAGCAAGCTCGTCAGGTGTGAGAGCTGCTCTTCTTGCAAACGGGCGCTGGAGGTGAACACGATGCGGGTATGCAGGGTCACCATAGATGCAAAGAGTTGCACCATCTGGGGAAAACGAGTGCTGTTCTAATTGCTCCAGTAGACCAGACATTACAAGCAGTCTGCTGTCATGTCTTCTACCTTCAACGGGCCCAAAAAGGTTTGCAATCATACCATTTGGAGCAACAACTGACTGAAACTTGAGTGCATGAACCCTTTTGTGCCCATTGTAGACAGCTCTTTGATTCCTGGTTGGCCTGCATATAGGCCTGACAGTGCCATCAACAAATCCCCAGCAGTTGTCCAATGCAGCACCTTTGTTGTGTATTGCATCAGCAAATGACTGGAGATTCTCTCTTGAGAGCCATGGCTGGTTCAGGTCGTTCAGTAGATTGGAAAACCTGTCATAAATATCCTCAACCACCAAGTTGAAGATCATGCATAGTTGCGGAACAGGCCTTCCGAATCTTGGGACTAAATCCGCGTACCGGCAGGGATACGTGAAACGCTTCAAGCAGACACAAAGCGCTTCAACGGGGCCAACAATGACACCATTGTAGCATCGATAAACTTCTGGCAGTTGAAGGGCTTGCACAAGATTGTATATGTCCTGCTTTTTGAAACGCATTTCAACAGAGCACTCCTCTTCGGCCATATCTTCCAAGCTAAAACGTTCATATTTAAAATATGGAAGCTCTAAATGAAGATTAACGTTGTTTGCGTGACCACGATGTAATAAAAGGTAGTCCTCGACATCTTCCATATTTTCCTCGAGCACGATGAATAAATTGTTCGCCATTTTTGCAGCTTCGAGTAAACTGAATTTGGCGCCAAACTGCAATGCGTTGTGACAGGCACGTTGTGAATCGTAACAGGAAAAAGGTCAACGCATCGGGATGACTAGATTCCAGACCTTTTCAGCTCGTCTCGATCTGTCGCGTCTTGTTTCGTAAACTCTCTAATAGGCAATGACGCAACAACGTTAAGGTTGAGGTTAGCGTTGCTGTGTTTTGAATACGTAACTTGAAACCATGAAACCACAGAATGGGAAATAGGCAAAAGGGGTACCCCTGCCTATCAGGTGAAGCCTGAAAAAACTTGCGCATGCGTTAACTTATAAGAGGCTTAGCATGTATCTGTCGCGGAAATTTTTAAAAAAGAATGAAAGTAGACAACTTTATTTGAGACGAAATGCCCCATGATAGTGAACAAATTCAATTATGTATCATAATTCATTTATATCTGATTAATGAATGATAATTTGTCAAGGCTTCAAAAGCCATGACATGCATTTGTCATGTCAAGGCTTCAAAAGCAATAAAGGAACCGACGAGAGCTACCCTTTTGCCCATTTCCTAGTCTGTGATGAAACAGTGGCGTATTGGGGATGAGGTTGCAAGGAGGCAAAGGGTCAAAATGGCGCCCCTCATTTAGCTATCTGCAAATTTTCCTTCAAATATTTGGAAATGTGCAGAAAATTACAAGAGCTCTGCAGCACGCAGATCCGTATCTAACTATCTGTGGCGTACTGAAAGACCTTAAAATAAGGGGCGAAAGAGAATTTTCAAATAGAGTATATTATTCTTTGTAATACCTAACAGCATTTTTTAGTATCGTTGTAGCGGCTGTAGCATTAAACTGCACAACAATGATAATCAGGGACGTCACTGTTGAGGGAGATTGGGGTTAGGGAGGGGGCGGTAAGATCGTTCAGGAGCCATGGTTGGCGGCAATGAATTGCAAAGAAGTACTTCTAGAGATGGTTGGAAAATGCATCTAAATATTTACAACATCGCTCTAGACTCGTGAAAGATCCTGGACAATACCCATAAGCTTTCTTCAAACGATGGCCCAAATACCGGTGCGAGGCAAGCCTTGTTTGGGTTTACTACAAATTTGCCTGATTGAAAGAGTTACCTGAAATTCTTTTGTTGCTGACACCCGAAGGGCAATTCACTCCTGCAAATAGCGTACGAGATTTTCCTTAAAACAAAAGGATTCCCGAGGATTTTCAGATAAAACAATAGGATTTCCACCAAAGGTGTACGAGATTTTCTTGGAGTGATTTGCCCCTCGGGTACGCCCCTCCGGTATCTACTTTGTGAAAAATCCATTTAGACCCTGTTTACACTGTGCCGGATAAATTTTATCCGCATCAAAATTAGTTCAGATAGGGCTCCCGTTTACACTTGACCCACGCTATCCGCACGAATTTGAGAGCGGCTATCCGGACAAAATTAGTTCACCTAGGAAAATGGATTAAATTAGTTCTGATAGCTATGTGGTACAGTGTAAACGCTTTTATCCGGATAAATTTTATCCACATCCGCTGCGAGGTTGATTTTGATTTACAGCGAGGCTCTTTCAATTAAGAGAAAGAAGGTTGCGCGAGGTGGCGCGAAATCTCATTTCTCGTAAACAGAATCGTTTTTTCACCAATCTGCACGTCGTCGTCATTTTGACTTTACTTTGCGGGGACATGCACGAGCTCAGGGAAAAGGTCATAAAAGCGCTGATTGCCCTCGTTTGCCACATCCGGCGCCCCTTTAATGTGAGAATTCATTTTGCCGGGGCAATTGCCCCCTTGCCCCCCCTGCCAGTACGCCACTGCCATGAAATATTTCTTTAGGTTTTGTAAAACTTGCTACATTTGTTGTTTGATTGACCAAGCGAATAATGGGGACCTATTATAGGGGGATCAAAAGCCGCAAAACCGTGCAAAAATCAACCAAATGTCGCAATCCGCAATGAAATTGGGCGCAAAGACGCGGCCACGATAGCAAAAGAGACCCTATAAGGGGTAATTGAAATATGAAATAATTAAGGTTTTATGACTATTTACTAAAGAGAAAATATGACCATTTAGATTTTTTGATTTTGAAATATGAAATAACTTTGGTTCCCAATATGAAATAACAAAATAACTGAATACATCTTTTAATGTTGTGTTAGAATTAGCTATTTGATAACAGCATTGACTCAAGTGACTTTTGATATGTAGAGCTTTTAGGATACCATATTACGCCTGGGTTGCTCTTTTAAATTTCTCAAACCTTTTTTGGGGCATTTTCTCGGAGAAGGCGCTTAAAAGAAGAGGCGGCTTTTCATACTTCATGATTAGTAAAAATGCCAATAGCATAGAATCTACCGCAAATAGTCTCGGCTTATACACCAGATAGCTACTTTGTCTCAACAAAATAGACGAAAACACCAGATAGCTTCATAGTGTTTTTATCTATTATAATTATTCCACATCTTTATACTATGAATCCTTTCTAAAACCACTAAACAGCAGTTTTGTAAACCATTTAAGTTGCAGGATTGATTTGCTGATAAAATCTGTCTTCCAAATCTTCAAATCTCCAAACAGACATTGTTCATTTTTCAATTTTCTTTATCTGAGGCTAGACATGTTTCCCGCGAGGTTATTCTGATTTTAAACAAATTAGACGAAGCACGTAATACACCAATTCGACTTAGGCTACGTTCACACTACTCCGTTTTCATATGAATACGCTGTGAATACGATATGTGTTCACACTACTCCAACAAAAACGCTGTTGGTGGCCTCATTTTTGGAAAGAGGCGTTCACGAATCCTCAACAAATTGGCGTCATTATAAATGAAATTAAATATAATTAAATCGTGAAAAACTTTGTTGTAACAGCTACCAGTCCATTGTGAATTCTCAATTTCAAAATTTTTCTAAATTTGGTGTGCTACAAAGCACGTAATTTGTTGCCGATGTTAGCGTATTCAAATGTCTCCGTTTTTGGTCTTCGCATTAAAAACGGAGCGTGTTCAATACGCACAGTATTCGAAAGTATCCGTTTTCATTAGCGTTTTCAAACGACTCTGTTTTCATAGCATAGTAATGTGAACGTAAGGCAAAAACGGATTAGTTTGACTCCGTTTTCATTTGATTTGTTCACACTCGATGAGTACCCCCTAAAAAAGACACCTAAAATATCTACTCTTTAGAAACATGTAGTCAAACTCTAGTATTTATAACGATTTCTTTTTAAGGACTGTTGGGTAGTTGGCTGAGCATCCTTGTAAGGATACACGGAAGGTCCTGCGTCCTTATCTTACAACATTTATGACAATTGTAAATTTTAAGTCTATATATAATGAACTATAATGACTGAAAGATTGCCAGAATACGATGACATAAAAACAAACAGTTAAATTTTAGACTGTGATGATTCGTGAATGAGATTAATTAGTCTGGGCTTTTAAGCCCCGACCAAACGAGCCAACATTTAACCCAACATCTTTGCCAACAATGTTAGGAGTTGTTAGGAAGGCTGGCCAAACGATCCAACATTTAACCCAACATCTTTGCCAACAATGTTGGGAGTTGTAGGAAGGCTGGCCAAACGATCCAACAATTCACCCAACATTTAGCACAACCGTTTTTGGGATACTCGGATTGAGTCCAAGACGGCTTAAGCCTGCCATCCCTGATCTTGATAGCAACGCTTTTCTTTTCCCCAAAACTCTATTCATTGCCTTTACGGCTTCGTCGTACTCATCTTTACTCACTAAATCTCTTTCTTCGTACTCTTCCATTATCCAATATTCTTCAGTCGTCCAAATCAAATCAAATCAAGTCCACCATCCAACAGCCGCCAACATTTTTGACCAGTTTCAAATCGATCCAACATTTCACCCAACATCTTTCCCAACAATGTTGGGTGACCCTGCTTACACGGCCATAGAGATGCCAGTTACACTATATCACTGTGTTATTCTACCTCTTTGGTATGGGCACTATTGTTTACATTTCCTCTCCCTCTCTTGTTCTAACTGACAGCAATGACTGGCAGTAGCTTGTCCATTCTAACGTTACTCCTATTCGACATGGAGCTCTTTTCAAAACCTTTGGTGTGAAGTGAAAAGCCTTGCCGTGGACCGTTATTTCATTTGAAAGCCGCAACCGTACTATAGAAGCCGTAAACCGTTGCGAATTTATACCGAAAGACGCAAGACGCACCTTTTGTTGAAACCGCAGTCCCTAGATAAACATGTTTAAATCCGGAGGCCGCAGGTAAAAATAGGGTCCAAGCCGTGAAGCCGCAAACCTATAATAGGCCCCCAATAAATGACAAATTTATTTTGACACACAAAATTAAGTCCGCTCATACCATCCAATGCTAAGACTTCAGTTGATAGAGAGAAGAACGTAGGTGCTAAACAGTCTTTCACAAGCATTGTTGTGCCATTTGATTATTGATACAAATGAAACCAAAACTCGGGTGCTTTTACAAGCCACTTGGATTGAATGCCATCAGCCCTTTCATAATATATCAATCCACAACTGCAATGATTCTTACCAATCTACTGCAGGCACCGCGGAGCGTTGCGAAAAGTGGGGGGCTAAAAAGTGGGGTGGCTAAAACCGAATAAAAAAGGCTTTACTGGTGGTTAACTCTTTAATGTTTTGCATTTTTGCAAAAGTGGGGGGGGGGGGTGCTAAAACCCCTCCAGCCCCCTCTCTGCTCCGTCAAAAAGGAAAAATGAAACAGAGGTGCAAAGTTGAAAACAGTAGAGTCTGCACGCAGGCTAGACGGCGCGACCTCTGGCTTCGCCAAAGATTTCCTTATATCCTTCTTCAATTGATTATTATTTATTTATTCAGCGTTTCGTAGATATACTTTCACATTTTATAAACATTTTTTCACCTTCTCCACTTTTCAGTGGGATCTGATTTGCGACAAGAAGGAGCTGTCATATTTAGCTAATTCTGCCGTTTATATCGGCATGGCTGTCGGTGCGTTTGTTCTCATGGCCCTATCTGACAGGTAAGCAGCCAGTCAAGATATATTTTTTATCTGAGCTAAACGTACTAAAATTCGAGAAATTTTTTTCTTTTTCGGGACACATCTTCCATAAATGAATTGTATTCTCCATAGTCTATTGAAAGGATTACGGTTAAGAACCCTATTGTCTTTCGATCGCTATGTTATTGTTATGAAAATTTTGTGTCACGTGACCACGAAAAGGGCTTGCTCCAACATAAATCACGTGACTCATTGGACATTCCTAACCAGTCCTTTCAACAGACTATGGTATTCTCCAATGTTTAGTTATTAATTAATTTATTTTAAAGCTTAAGCACCCCACCGCTTATCAACAATCTAAGCTGATGTGAATTTCAAGCCAGTGACGGTGCTAGCTACTGCAGAGTGGTGGGGTAATGGGCGTGACCCATGAGACCACGCCCACTTTGCTTATTTAAAGTACTTAATACCAGGTGAATTTGTATGAGCTACCCCTATATAATGCATTTTAACCATTTTTAGAGGAATTCTATGGACCATGTTTTGACGAAAGTGGAGATGGGTAATCTCCCCTTCCCCTTTGTATACCGCCCCTTGGCACTGCCCCAGTGTAAAGCTACTAATCATTACAGTTTTGAGTTGAAACAGCTGCTCATTACTGCCAACCAAGCTCGAAGTTGCGATTTGCGCCATTATTTTTTTGTGTTTATGTAAAAGAACCAAGGCTAATGAAAGTTTATCGTTAGAGCAAGGCAAGAATTTTATACTCATTTTGAATAGCATGTAAACTGTACAGCATATTTTAATTTTCGTTAGTTTCATTTTGAGCTGATTTTAGCAGGAAATCTCAACATAATTGGGCTGAGGTCTCAACATAATTGGGCTTAGTTTAATAATTCCCTAGCTGGAAAAAGCCACCGAGAGACCTAATTTCCTTTCCTTAGGTAATATTGATGCTCACCATCGTTGTCTTCATCTGTGTCTTCTTCTTTTCCATCTTCTTATTCCTCTTCTCATTATTTTCCTGGTCCTTTTCTTAGTGTTTGTTTTCTTTCAATCCTTCTCAGCGCCTTTTTTCTTCTTCCTCATTTACTTCATCTTCTTCCTTCCTTACCTTATTTCCTCTCCATTTCTTTCTGCTATCTTATCCTCTCAGCCTGCTTCTTCTTTACTGACATCTTCTACTTTCTTTGCTCCTGTTCCTCCACTTCCCCTTTATTATTTTCGTTAACCTTTACTTTCTCATCTTCTCCTTCATTCTCAGCGTCTTTTTCTTCTTCCTCATTTACTTCATCTTCTTCCTTCCTTACCTTATTTCCTCTCCATTTCTTTCTGCTATCTTATCCTCTCAGCCTGCTTCTTCTTTACTGACATCTTCTTCTTTCTTTGCTCCTGTTCCTCCACTTCTCCTTTATTATTTTCGTTAACCTTTACTTTCTCATCTTCTCCTTCATTCTCAGCGTCTTTTTCTTCTTCCTCATTTACTTCATCTTCTTCCTTCCTTACCTTATTTCCTCTCCATTTCTTTCTGCTATCTTATCCTCTCAGCCTGCTTCTTCTTTACTGACATATTCTACTTTCTTTGCTCCTGTTCCTCCACTTCTTCTTTATTATTTTCGTTAACCTTCACTTTCTCATCTTCTCCTTCATTCTCAGCGTCTTTTTCTTCTTCCTCATTTACTTCATCTTCTTCTTCCTTCCTTACCTTATTTCCTCTACACTTCTTTCTTCTTTCTGCTATCTTATCCTCTCAGCCTGCATCTTCTTCTTTCTTTGCTCCTGTTCCTCCACTTCTCCTTTATTATTTTCGTTAACCTTTACTTTCTCATCTTCTCCTTCATTCTCAGCGTCTTTTTCTTCTTCCTCATTCACTTCATCTTCTTCTTCCTTCCTTACCTTATTTCCTCTCCATTTCTTTCTGCTATCTTATCCTCTCAGCCTGCATCTTCTTCTTTCTTTGCTCCTGTTCCTCCACTTCTCCTTTATTATTTTCGTTAACCTTCACTTTCTCATCTTCTCCTTCATTTTCAGCGTCTTTTTCTTCTTCCTCATTTACTTCATCTTCTTCTTCCTTCCTTACCTTATTTCCTCTACACTTCTTTCTTCTTTCTGCTATCTTATCCTCTCAGCCTGCTTCTTCTTTACTGACATCTTCTACTTTCTTTGCTCCTGTTCCTCCACTTCTCCTTTATTATTTTCGTAACCTTTCACTTTCTCATCTTCTCCTTCATTCTCGTCGTCTTTTTCTTCTTCTTCTTTGTTATTTCTTTTTCACTCGTTTCATTGTGTTGCTTTCCTTCTACTTCTAATTTTTCTCCTTCTTCTATTTCATCTTATTTTCCCTTTTTTCTTTATATTGCTACTGCTCGTCTTTCCCTTTGTCTTTCTTATCTAGTACTTGCTACATAAGGGCCTTCAATCCTTCTCCTCAAGCACATTATATAAAGATGCAATTAGTGGTCAAAGGAAGTTAATACTTCTCTGATAATGCATTTGAAATACTAAGTTCGTTTGAAAGCGGTTTAAGAAAATTTATTTGTTATTGTAGGAGTCCTCAAGAAAACTAGAAACACGAAGAAATAGTTTCTCGTATCTTATTACAAATTAAATAAAGTTAGTATTGGCTCAAACGAGATAAACATATTCTCCCAATTTCGTTGCAGGTTTGGAAGGAAAAAGGTGCTGTTTCCATCTGTAGCAGGAATTCTCGTTTCTGGATTTATTAGTGCCTTTGTTCAACATTTTTGGCTATTTTTCGCTCTGCGACTTGTTATAGGCATTTTCTTGGCAGGAATTAGCCTCTCGATTTTCATAGTGGCCACAGAGCTGGTTGGCCCGAACTACAGAGCCTTGTCCGGTTCGCTGATTTGGTTCTCATTTACATTCACTTTGTGCTTGATTGGTTTGCAAGCGTGGCTTCTCCCCGATTGGCGACTTCTAGAAATGATCATATCTGCACCGTACATTTTTGTACTTGGATTTTGGTGGTAAGCAAAGAAAAGTATTCATAAAGGCAATCTAGAGCTGGGCCTCGTAAAAACTTCCGTTCTCCTTTCCTATTGAAATAAAGTAATTGCACTTTCATGCATTTAGTTTACCAAATAGTAACTTCTACAATTCTCTCTTATTTGTTTATCGCCAAGTATGGAAATCATATATAAATAGTTTTTGAGATTCACTTCAGGTGTTCTTCAAGCTTCATTCCTCGGAGCTCTCCTGCCGATTATGAAATACCAAAGGATACTTTTCCTATAAACTTTGATTTGATTTGCTATTAGCGATTTAGAAAGCTCACAAAGAAAATTTGAGAAACCTCTGATTAGAATTTGTGACATTTTAAACAGGTGTATACCAGAATCAGTTCGTTGGCTAAGAGTAAACAACAAACTGGACGAGGCGGAAAGTGTTTTGCAGAAAGTTGCAAAAGTTAACAAAAGACCAAAGCCAAGTGTGAAATTATCAGAAACCGAGGAAACCACCGAATCAGGGACGTATGCAGACTTATTTCGCCCGTGGAAAGTTTGCAAGTCTTCCTTGATACAATCCTACGCATGGTAATGTAATGTCAATATTTATGGTTTAATTTTCCTCGTAGTTTTCAGCACTGTGAACGTCAATTTCTGGATTTATTCATAAAGGGTCTTAATGACCCACATGAGGGTCTCAGTGATGTTCAATTGAACTCTCCAAGGATTCAGCAGTTGGGATTTCTCCCCCAAGAGGGTTGGGGGAAAGATTTATTACTTTTCTACACAGGGTCCTTATACTCGTAAAACGGTTTTGCAGAATGGGATATGGAGAATTTTTACACCTTTTCTGGTTTGAAATAATAACTAGATTTGGCTTGAGCTTCTTATTTATTGAATAGCAAAAATAGCAAAATCTACCTTTATCTAGTATAATGTAGAGAACAAAATTTAGAGTGCATCATTAGTGATAGGGTGAAGGATATTATCAATTCCCCTAACATTCTACCAATAATTAAGAAACTAATGAAGAAAAGGGGTGCTCATTTTGTAGGTTTGTCAATGGTATGGTTTATTATGGAATTTCGATGGCATCAGATAATCTTGGTGGAAATATGTACAGGGATTTCGTGCTTACAAGTTTGGTTGAAATCCCAGCAAACATTCTTGTCATTATATTAGGCAACAGGTAAGGTATTCTTAAGCATGAAACTCGATTTGAACACAAGCTAGTGTTTATATACTCTGTCATAGGACATGCAAAAATTCCAACATTTGATGGCTCGATCTCAGGTTTAATCTAAAAAATCGTATGTGATCAGAAATTTGAGCAATCAAAGATCCGAATTTCATGACATACAAGTATCTATTAAAATTTGGCATTAATTAGAAAACTACTTAAGGTAATTCAAATCCATTTTGGATTTACGAAAATGAGTCCAGGTTAACAATTGTCAGGAAAATTTCAAATTAGATCAAAGTGTGGCCAAATTAATCACATTTTACTAACCTTATTAGCAACTTTTAGCAATATTTATGGACCAACAACACACAGGGCTGTAACGGGGTAAAGCACCCCGAAATCAGTCAAACTTTGGCTCGATTCACGCCTGCATTATTATAATATATCTATCAACCAAATAAGTATATTCTATCTATTTAAGTAAACTTATTTTGTCCACCAAAGGCTTTGACCTTATGGCCCTTTCACATAACTATTTCTTCAAGTATGTATTTGTCTTTTCATATGTTTCTGTTACATCAAGATATGGGAGAAAGCCAACAACGATATGGGCAATGATATTTGGTGCTTTATCCTGTGGCAGCGTTGCGTTCATACCCAGTGATACAAATATGCCAGGTAATCTCCAAGATGGCTCACGATTTTTCTTCTAATTTTTCTATAATGTGGACTCTATTTTCATACTGCTGACTCATGAATTCTACTCTAAACTCTAATATTCTAATTCAGACTTTAGTATTCCATATGAAAACTTCTGTATACTATGGTAGACCTTAGTATACTACTATGTATTCTAGTATTCCTATTCAGATCCTAGTATTCTTATGTAAACTTTTGTTTACTATTGTAAACTCTTGTACAAAACTTAGTATTCTTACTATAAACTATAGTATTTTTCTGGAAACTGGTGTCTACTACTGTTAACGGCAATATACTACTACTCTAATGAATTTCATTTGGTTTCCTGTAAAAGCAATAGAACTTTGTTGCGGGTTCAAAAAGATAGAATCAATTGGCTGTAACAATCCTGTTTTGCCTGGTCAAATAGCCATGCTCAAATCTACTGTTCAGATCTTCAATGAAACTGACATTTTTGTTTGATAGGCTACAACTGGTCAAGAGTGGCGCTAGGAATGATGGGAAAACTGTGCATTACATTATCATTCAATGAGCTTTACTTGTGGTCCGTCGAACTTCACCCAACAGTTGTAAGGTAAGTGCCTTCCAAATTGGCTGTGGGCTTGAGCAAGAAACGTTAAAATTGAACTGGCTTGTAAACGTACTGTACATAGCATGAAGGTAGTCTGAATAAAGGCACTGCATTTTTCGTTTACCGCTTTTCAAAGTATAGTATGTCAGAATATGGTCAAAAGCTCAAACATAGGCAATCCATTTACCTATTTGTGCATCAAAATAGGCCAAGCAGATTACATTGGTCCCTTTAGACTATATTGCCTCAAGTCTAAAGGTTCAAAGGAACTTGTTCTGTCTATAGAACAGCGGGTCATTTTTTACCGATCGAACAAAAAGAATTGACGAAACAATGAAAAAATTTTAGTTTCAATTTGGATAATATCACCACAAAGAAAGCCAGAAAAAGCAACTAAATGTTCTAACTTCTAATCCGTAAAATCTGTTCAATTTAAAATCAGAGTTCTGTTTTATGACGTCATCACCACCAATCTATGGATATAAAGTTGCCCCGTTTTCGTAGCTTTGCATATAAGCGTTTATTCGCGTTTGTTATTATTGTGATGAATATATTTACATTAAAAAATTTTCATCATCCTTCAGGTCACAAGGCATGGGAGTATTGCAGATCACAAGCCGACTGGGGGCTGCTTCTGCTCCATGGGTTGCTCAGTGGTTGCGACATTTTCACACTTCGCTACCCTTTATTTTGATGGGAGGCTTAACTGCCACCGCAGCATTCCTGTGCTTTATTTTGAAGGAAACGAAGGGTATGCAGACAGCCGAGGTTTTGGAAAAAACTAACACAACACAAGGTGAATATGCAAAATTTTCCTGCAATGTGCAACATAGAACTGAAGAGTATTACGTAATTGCTTGAACGTAATGACAGGAACACCTAGGAAAGAACTGACCAGTCCTTACCCTTGGGGCCAGAGTCCCCATTATTTAGTCTCAGAAATACGTACAAAGTTGGAAGCTTGTCTCACAGAGATGTTTATTTGAGCGATGACTCATTCTTTACCACCGCAACGGTTTGTATTGCTTTGTCCCCGATTTCTTCAAGCTCTGGTACCAGTGGCAATGGCAAGGGAATGTGGGGAGGGGGGTAAATGCCCTTAATTTTGCCAAAACATGGTCCACATAGTTTTTCTAGAAACTGACTAAAAAGCGTTAGGTAGGGGAAGGTCATTGCTTCGACTAAGGAATATTCACCTTGTACATAACACTGAAACGAGGTAAAAAGGCGTGATCTTAGTGGCCACTCCCACTCTGCAGTAGCTGGTACCGCCACTGCCTGGTATCCAGGGCAACCAGTCCTATACACTCCCTGTGTCTCTTCTTTTGGAAATATAATCACTTTTCTGTCCCCTCGTATTCCTATTTGAAGAATTTTGGTAGAGCGTCTCTAAAAAACAAATATTGTTTCAATAGTTACCACACTGCACCATTTTGAAATTCTTCTAATGCAGTGGTCGCTGTTAATTAGCATAGCAAGACACCAAGATAATTCGCAGCAAGATAATAAGCGACTGATATTCAGTACTTTAATGTGTGCAAATTGCAATATAGTTATAAAGCAATGAATTGGATTGATATCAATCAAGGAAAAGGATGTTGTATTGCAAGAAGTTAGCAGCTGCATGTCTATTTCTGAAGTCTTTAGCAAATTCAACACTTTGCCCCCCCCCCCCTACCCCTTCTCCACTTGTGTTTCTCTGGAAGATTCACCACCGTTCTGAGGAAAACCCCGATTTTACTTTAATTCGTTTAGACTAAAATTATTTTGCTCTTTTAATCGTTTAAATTTGGACACTTTTAATTGCCATTTTCAAGTTTTTTCGCAATGCCGCAGGGTATTCGCCTTTCCAAAGGGCAATTCGTGGTATCGTCCTTGTAATATTGTAAATTTTTTTACACAGTAGTGATACTAGTAAAGTAACACTGCAAAATATTTAAAAAAGCATTGATTTGTGAGCTAAAGAGCATTGAAATGTTGACATTGGCACTTTTTTACAGGAAAAGAAATCATTGAGATGGATCAAGTCAATCATTTGGAAACAACGGCGCTGAAAACTGACGCATAATCGCCTGTTTGCGACTTTTTTAGGTTATTAATCCCTATATTATGAGGGCAGTTGTAATTGCTTATGCAAGGTGTGAACCATTCTTTGTTTCATTTTTATAAAAAGGCAATATTTTCTGGTTTACCATATATATTAAAATAAAGTCTTTTACAGACATTCGTTCTGCAATGCTTGTTGATTTATTTAGGACACCTACAAACTTGAGCCGTGTTTTTATTTTTTCATTTCCTTTCTCCAAAAACCAAATTTCCCGTTGCCTTTTTCCACCAAATAATTTTAATAAAATTCTACTCTGGAAACTTGCCTTAATGTTACATGATGTTTGGCAGTGATTTTGGTACCGAGAGTAGCCACTACGAAGGAGCTCTCCAAGGCTCCTGCCTTGGCCCTTTCCTGTTTATTATCTATATAAATTAATTTCTGCTCTCTTGATATCAGATTTAATTGTTTATATTTGAGTAGTGTTTCAAAATATTTAAAGCTCTAGGTTTTGCTGAGGTCTACTGTAAAGCTGAAACATTTGACAATCTTTTTAAAGGACAGCTTTAGGCAAGTATAAAAATATAAAACCAACCTCATAATCTTATACAGCAAAATACATGGAATTTTCGTGACCCCTGTTTGATGAACATCAAACTTGCAAGCATCAAACAACTGAACTTTCGAAAATATTGGCTAGAATCTACAAGATTCTCTTCAAGACAAGAAAGCTTTTTTAAAAGGCAGTCCCAAAACGCTTTCATTTGGTCTTTTTTGCAATGACGTATCAATTATTTGGGACAAACTTTCACTCATTCATTGAAACCCTGTTTCTAAGGATCATTTCTATGCATTTTTACGCATCTCAATTTGTATTTCCATACCTCCACAGGTTGACGCTCAGCATCACTGTCACCCTTGATAAAGTCAGACATTGTTCAAAGTTGATAACAAACCTTTTCTCCTGATAAAGCCTTTGTTGCATTTTAAAAAGCAGGCACTGTAGCAATAGAATACTTGAAAGAAGAGCCAATCTCAAAAACTGCAAAGTTATTCATAATTAATATTTATTCCAGGTTACCAAACAAAAACATTTCGCAAGGAAAAACCTTTGCTCTCCACAGTCCGACTTCAGGTTGTCTTATAACGTGTGGAACGGGATGAAATTAAGCAAACATAAAGTTTAATACCCTGAGAAAAATGCACACTTGCACGCTTGTTGCTTTGGCCGTAAAAAAGACATTATGTAATGCTTACTCGAGCACTGCTACAATGAACACAAGCTCCACAATCGTGCAATTTGTGCCAAAAACAAAAGCCCAGGGGGAACCGAAAAGGCGTACCGCGTCACTGTCAAATATTAAGATGTGTCTACTGGGGCTAAGAGTCTCGAAATTCAATTGGTTCCCTACTAACAACAGAATGGTTTAGAGAAGTTGAGTAAAGTGGATGGCACCAAAGACTTTAAAGTAGAATATAAACAGCACAGTGCTTTAGCATTGGAATTGAAAGATGAATACTAAACAGAGCACTGAATACAGCATGTATATCAGGTATTTTAAAGCATCTATCTGTTGAAAGCTCAGTGACAATGACTAAGCAACTAGAGTTTCAATTTAATTTTCTGATCTCTACAAAAAGGAACCTATTTCAGATTTCAGGCTGGATGGTTTCTTAAATAATGGGGGTCTATTGTCATAATTTCAGTCTGTAGGTTCTTAATCCACTAGGTAGTAGCGTAGCAAGGGGAGGCAAGAGGGGGCGGAGGCCTCTCCAATGGAAATAAATCTCCCTGAAAAAAACGATTTCTGTTATTGAAATGGGTATGGACCCCAATTTTCTCTGGCTCAACTCGCCTCTAGGCTCTTATATGCAGGTGTTTACTGCACTATAAAATAAAGAATAGTGAAATCGAAGATCTCTTTTATCTGCATTAAAATGTGACGCCTTCTTTTGGTCGAGGTTAGGTGTTCTTGGCAAGACAAGATTTGAAAACGAGGCTGTTGTATAGGATACCCGAAAGTGTGAATTGACTCGGTAACTTTCTTGCTTATCTTATGAACTGACCTAATTTTGAGCGGCTGTGCCATAAGTTCAACATTTTAGATAAATTCTTAGGACATGTAAGTATATAAAGAATACACATATCTAGTGAGAGATGTGTAGAAAGCGCTAAAAAATACACATATTGTTTCGGGTCGGAAGATAAAATTTAAACTTGAAATTGAGATTTTTTTGATAATAATTTCATGAATCAAGTGAACGTCGGCCTCACCGCTCCCTCGATAGCACATCTAATGGTGTAACGAGAAAGATGTGAAACAAACTAGAAAAAAGAAATACAAAACCTTGTTGTAGGTTTGATCAAAATATTTTATAGACAAAAAATGGGTTAATAGCTTAGTATCTTATAGAAATTGGAAAGATTAAGATCTGATTTATCTTATTGAACAATAGAAAAAATGATTGGGATTTCTGCAATAAAGCGCTTAAATTTGGAGAATTCCTTTTAAAATGCCACGAAAAAGCTTGACAAATAAAATAGAATATTTCTGAAAAGATTGAGCAAATTCTTAAAGTTGAAACTTTTTGTTGAAGTTTAAAACAATTTATTTATGGCCTTTAACTAGATGTTAAAAGATATTGAAAATTTTCTCATGAAAGTTACTGTTTTGCCGCCCTGCCATATAGTGCTTTATACAGGGCAGATAACATCTCAACATTCGCAGGGGGAAGGGGGGCAAACAATCTAAAATTTCCGACTGCAAAGGCACAGTATACCCAATTAAAACAACACCGACAATGGCAACAACAGGAAATTTTTCGAGAACTGTAATCATTATCTGATTGTGTACCATTATTTTAACCCGTTTCGGAAATTCATTCTTAATATTTCAGTTAGGGGAAGCAAAGCCTACAAAAACAAGTAAATTTGCCGAAAAATAACAAAATTTACCTACGAAAGGGCTAAGATCTGTTTTTTAACCGACAATTTGGCAAAAGCTGGAGAGGAGGTCGCCCCCACACTTCCGGAATATCCGCCACTGCTTCCGTGTTTTCTTTATTTTGACAAATCGATCTATTACGAATTTAGACGAAATACAAAATTGATCTTGCCGAGAGATGGGGGAGACACTGCCCCCCGCCCGCGTGGAGGCGCTACTGCGTGGTAAGATCTTGTTTTCTACAGTATGAAATGTCGCCTGGTAACAGGAGTCCGTCTTCATCCACATTTGGTTGAATAAACCTTTCATAAAACCTTGTCTATTGGAATTTTGCAATGCAAAGTAGTCCTTGCAAATGGTTGCTTTACTGACTACGTAGCCAAAGCTTCCCTGGGTACTGGGTCTAGGTCTGGGTCTAGGTCTAGATCTGGGTCTAGGTCTAGATCTCCGTCTGGGTCTAGGTCTCGGTCTGGGTCTAGGTCTAGGTCTGGGTCTGGGTCTAGGTCTAGGTCTGGACCTAGTCCGTTAAGGTCTGGTATGCCAAAATATTCTGCAAAAATTTTGGTCTGGCTATTCCAGTATGTCCAAATATTCTGCAAAAATGTTTGAGGGGCCATATTTAACTTGTCTAATTCTACCCAGAAGCAATACAACCTCGTCTGGGTACATCTTCATTTTTTGGCTTTCCTTCAAATCTTTGTTCAATTTTCCGACGAATAAAAATCAACGTGCTGCGTTTTATTTCTCCCCCAGCATATGACGCAAATGCGGACGAAAACGTTACAAAAAATTTCCGACAGCAGTGCAAATTTTCCGACAAATAGTTTGTTGGGGGAGGTTCCGCTCCCCGGCCCCTCACTGCCTTTGGCCCTGGCTTGATGCCGTATAAGAATAGCTGGACAGGGTGTTTTTAGGCACCAAAGCGATTTCTCATGATTGTGTGACTACTTTTAAAAAAGCGCCTTTGCCCGGTTATACATACAAAGGAAGGTTGTTTTTAAAAGGAACTCATGTATACTTCTGTAGTTGGATTGTTAAAAGTGGAAGCGAATTGAATGATATTATAACATAAACAAAAAACTAACATAAGATATTATGCAGCGAATCATCTAAGCCAGAAAAAAGAAAAGCAAAGCAATTTGCAGAAACAATATTCGGAAACAGCAAAAACAGTCTCTTTTAATTTCCGCATTAAAAAAATAATCTTTCAAATGTTCATCACAATAATCTTTCGTATTTCTTAATAATAATATTTTCAATCCTTCTTTTTGAACACAGAATACTTTGAAACATTACCAAAATCCATGGAAACGAAAATTGTGCTGACAGGCAGCTTTTTTAAAATGGGCACGTTTCAAACAAGATTTGATGTAGACTGATCAGGAAGAATAGACATGGCCAGATTCAAGGGCGCGCGCAGTATCAAAAACCTCGAACGAAGGACAGAAAAAAACTTAACTTTGGTATTCAATTGCGTTAGTTGGGGTTGCCCACAGTGCATGAAAAGTTAAGTTAAATGGTTGGAGAATGAAGCTTTTTGACTACATGATAAGCTCTGAAGGTAGTTATGAGAAGAGTTCACATTCCCCATAAGAAGTTTTATACGAAGAGACGAGGGCATACCTCATTGAGTGACAACAGTGGTACTTCTTCAATGCGTCAGTAGTGCGTCCTAGAACCTGCATCAAAGAAGGGAAAATCTCACATTAAGGGGAAGACATCCATTGGACCTCTTCATTTTAAGGAAAGGTATATAAGAAGAATTGGTAAGTCAAGGCTTGTAGTGTCAACTCGATTTATATTTTTGTACTTGGAAAAAAATAGCAAGGCGGACTCTGGAGACTATATGCAGAAAATTTTCAACATTCAAAGAACGAGATGCGATATAATCTTATAGTAATGAAGTACGACACGACCCTATAAGACTAGGGTATACCTATTTGGAACCGATACTGAATATTCTCTTGGATTTATCAAACTCTGTATCTTAATTTGTACCCATTTTACTTCTTAGAATCGACGAAGAACCCGAAGCATGAAATGAATTGTGCTTTTTTGCGCGTAGTCTTATCATTAACTAGGTTTCTAGAGAACGAATCTGATGGATAGAGAAGCATGTAAAATGGATTCGACCAGTGACTATATTGATTTTAGTTTTGACTCAACAAGCTGCGTTTGTTGATGGAAGTCTCCTAGCAAGTTGAAAAGCACCAGTTTGCCTATTCAGTATACTGATTAATAGCATTCATCAAAAGATGAAAATCTTATATCATGAAAGGGGATGAATGTTTTGCACCAGCAAAGAGTATTGGATCTGCAGAATTGAAAAAATATTGTGGCAGATTAGTTCGTTGGCAGACAATTGCTTTTATTGGATTCAGTTGGTTGGTCGCAGTTTCCATGTTTGTTTTGATAGCTCCAGCTCTGATTTGTTTTGCAGTAAAGGGCTTTGATAAAAGAGCCAGAACAAGGTACGCTCATATACTTTATAATGATATTTATGTTTTGTCAAAGGAAAGGCTACTGAAGGCTTACTGGGGGCAGAAAGATATTCATAGTAGAGTCAATCAACTAGAGTACACTTTTAATCTTTGATGAACTTTTTCGTAGCAGTGAAATGTGGGAAGTTCTGATGGAACAAAAAATTTAAAGAAGAATCAAACATGATTCAATCATACAAGGTAATATAGGTTGATATTTTTAAATTAAGCATCAATAATTATAAACATTTCTCACCAACGGCCAAGCAAAAGCCAAATTAAATCTTAACCCGGCTCTCTTTGTAATATGAAGAAAGAGGCTGTGAGCAAAAAGAGGCTGATATTGGGCGTGTGATTTTGATGAGATAAGAATTTCATCTTTAATCGACTAAAATTGAAGTTGAAAAAGGATTGATGGGAAATCAGCTACAGAGGATATATCGTATGCACGTTTATTCATTAGAAAATTAATTTTTAAGTTTTTGTGTTTTAACAACAGTATCTTAAATTATATTTACAAAAACTCGGTTAAGCTATGTTTACGAAAACACATAGCAAAGTTACAGAATTGCCTGTTCATCATTTTCCGACGCTTTTTAAAGTTTTTGAACAATTCTTTCATATTTGAGAGGGTTATAACACTAATTGCTTCTTTTTGCCATTTAAAATGCCACAGTCTTTCAATATTGTTCACTGTCTTTCAATACCATCTTTATCGTTATAGTATGAAAAAGTATGAATCCTCATTTTGATCAAAGTTGATGTTGTTATTACTAATTAATTTCGGGTAACTAAAAAGATAATTTATGCTACTATATTGTTGTTCAGGTGAAATAACACGACGATACAATAACGTACAGCAAGAGACGGGAGGACAAATTGAAGGAACTAATGCACTTGGCCTTCCCACAAGACCAGTGGTTACACGCCTAGATTACGTCGGCCTACCTAAAGCTGCAAAAGTGGCAGTAGAAAGTGACTATGAAGGTCAAAGAGTGAGCAACAATTAGAGTTGCCAATGTACAATTGATTATGATGAACTTCTTCCCTGTTTATAAACAGTCACGTGAAGGACATTAAACCTGTAAGATATTTCTTTGCTATAGAATTCTCTAGTCTACCTCATGGAATAATTTATATCGACATTCCTATACCAAGCCAATTTTGTGTGCCGGGTAAGTTGTTTGTTGCTGTTGAAATGATATTAGAAGCATTCATATTTGGATACTAAAAATCAATAAGGGGTAGTCTCTCTATGATTACAAAAACCAAGCAAAAGGACCGAATGAAACCATCGGCATCTTTATAAGTTAGGTCTTGTACGCTAAAACAGTACTTCTAAGATCATGACTGCAGGTTTGCAAGATGGACATCCTTTTCTCTAATGATGTCTTCTGGGGTCTTGCAAAACGTTCATTTTCAATTTTTGCATTTGTGGCTAAATTTGACTTGAATTGAAACAATAAATTTAAGAAAGTAATACCGAAATGATGATGTCAATATGGAGACTTAAACTAAAAGTTGCATAAGATGAATTAAAAAATGTATTAAAGCTGCAAAACTATATTGATAAAAAGTTTTTTAACGAGGATAGAGGTGTACCAGGCTAGAAATTTGCATTCCAAAATAGTGACATTTTAGGCATGATCTGGAATGACACCACAAGCATCGTACATGTCGGTATGATGTGACTGGGGAGTGTAAGTTGGTAGAATTTTTGGCATTTTTGGTTGTATTCATTTTTAGATTTCCCCAGGAATTTGAAGATACGCTACTGAAATACTTTCGAAAAAAGCTTTTGATCAATCGATTCAACAAGGCAACATACGTCTCACCGAAATATCTGAAGGAAGCTTTGCTGTATGTGAAAAGCCTTAAGGTGCAATAGATAACATCCTTCTAGAAGTTAGAGATAAACTTACCATCTCATATCGTTCTAGAATCTTTTATATCGACCTTTCATGAGTGGGCATAGTTGCCTATCGGAAATTACGTTCATCGCAGCATAAGCCAGGGCCTTTTTTAGCATACAAGCTAGGGGGCAATTGCCCCTCCAGCCCAAGTGACTTTCCATTGTTTAAAACACTAGGCTATTGTCCTTCTCTTTTTATAAACAAAGGGTTGCCTCTGCAGCTAATTTTCCTTAGATGTCGGTCAATCTAGCTCATTTATAACTTTCCGATGATATTAAAGATGGTATGAACCGAGAATAAGCCCAAAATGTGTCTCTAGCATAGGCCTAATTTTGATTAAAATTGTTTTTCCACAGTTTTTTAGAAAAAGGAAATATTATTCAAACTAAATGCTTATATGATTTTTTAATAAGATACTTTCAAAGGTTTTGAACATAAAAAAACAGTTCACTCTGTATTGGAATGAAGCCCCTAAAAAAATTTGTCAAAAGCGTGTTTTTCTACAGCTAAAAATTGAGAAAATCTGGTTTGAAACAAACTAAAAAGAAATATCAAAAGCAATAATGTAAACATAACAAATTACCTGATGGGATTGTTTACTTTTTGATATCTTTGTGGAAAACTTTCAACTTTTCAAAAACGGGCCTAAACCTAAGCCAAAGTTTTTAAGACAAATTTTTCACTTTATTCTTAAAAAACAATATCATTTTACAATGTAAACCCTTTTCATGCTTTTAATATCCGCTACATACCTTTGATAGCTTTCAGCGTCATATTTAATCATTTAACAAGAGTTTCCGTTGCTTTTATAATTAAATCCTTAAAAAAAAGTTTAAAAAGATGCTTTTCTGCAAATGAAAAACTTGAAATTACAATCACTGGTTTCGATTTAAATTTGATATTGCCATAAAGAAACAAAAAAAACATGTTTAAACAAAGAAGTTAGAATTTTAAGATAATTTAAATGACTCGAAATTGGGCCTAAAAGTTTCGTCTAAGCTGTTTAGAAAATATATTTCAAAAGTGAACTGTAGGCAACAAACAAATTCAGTTAGATATTGGTTCTGTTATAAGACTAAATGAGCCTTTTATCACCCTTATCACAACTTTTTCAACGATACAGGAATAGACACAGAGATATTTGGCTAGTTCTAGGAGATTCTCATGTGTGCTAGCCACGGGGTTTTTATCATTGCACACATTCAGAAAAAATTTTTTAAAAATTTGACGTTATCTTTTATAACTTATAACACCACAAACCTTGAAATAATTTAAAATAAAATGTGTGAGGTTTTCTCGTCTTAAAATCAAACTTTTATAAAAATATCTTTAAGAGAGAAAATATTACTTTTTTGAAAGGAAACTGTGTCAAAAGAAACATTGAAAGATTCAAATATGGGAGAAAAGTAATTTCAGTGCAATATAGTCTATTGGAAGAAGAGGCTATGGGAAAGCGTGTGACATTAGAGACAATTTAAAGGCACACCTTTGACATTTTGTCAAATATGAATCTAAACTTGGTAAAAGAAATGTCTGTATCCAGTGGTGGATTTAAGGGGGGGCAGCCAGGGGCAGTTGTCCTTCCCTCAACGAGTCTGGCGCCCCTTCTTTGGAAATTGCGCGCCCCTTTTGAAGAATGGGAAAAGGTTTTTGAGACCGATAGGTTAATTTGCTTCAAGGATTTCTGCAAAGTTGTGTTATTTATTCCGAGAATGGATCTGAAATTGTTGTATCCAGGGTACTCTCGTCATCAATTTTTGAACATTTTCAGCGCCCCCACTACCAACTGCCCCTCCTTCAAACTTGCTCTGGATCCACCCCTGTCTGTGTCTAATGCTCGAAAAGAAAGCTATTTAAATGATTTCTGCTTTGGAGAACAAAGCAACGAAAAGAAAAATGTTAGGAAGACTCGCCAAGCTCTAAAATGTGTCCCCTCTTTAAAGAAAAAAAATGACTCAGTCAGAACAGAAATGATTCACTCTGCTATAAATGCTCTGGCTGAGAAAATGAATATTGAGCAAGATGGAATGATTCAAGGTTTGATGAAATTTTCTGTTGCAATTGCAAAGACTACAGTCCATTGAGAACAACCATTAGAGACCTTGTAAGTCAGATGTTTGGGGCTCATAGGGTTGACGAGTTCATGTCTGAATTGTTTATGCAAAGTGCAAATCTATGCGAATTCCATGCAATGCAGGTAGGAGATACTGGCACGCCACACTGGCATACTGGCATGTTGAGTAGTGCTTTGTTTTTTCCGGCAGTATTTTGTTACACACGCTTTTGTCAAGAAGATCAGCAGAATTGTAAGAGGACGGACCAGAGGCAGAACCCTTGGTAGAGTAGAGGTGACATTCATGCTAAGTCACAACTGCTTCTTAAAAAATGAGAATCTTTAGTTAAGAATAACTTTGAATATGCAATGATGGTGTAGTAGATCTTACCCAGGCAATGTCAGGAAATGTTTTATCAAGAAGATCAGAAATAGATTTCACGTTTTAAAGCGAATGGAAGACTTGTTGAGCAGAACCAGGACCTTCACAGGCAATGTCAGGAAATGTTTTATAAGAAGATCAGAAAGAGATTTCAGGTTTTAAACCGAATGAAAGACTTGTAGACTAGGAGCAGGACCTTTGGTGGAGGTGAAAACTAAGTGCTTATTGGTAGATTAAACACTTTTGGAGAGGATCTTTCAAAGAAACAAATCACATTTTAAATCTGTTTATTCACTACCTTCCCAATTCACTTAGTTGTCTATTGTTCACGTCACAACCTTGACTCAGGATTTATTTCAAATAACAGATATAAATCAAGACAGAAAGTATTTTAACTTGAGTTTTATACAATGTAATGGAATATGTGATGCGCAACCTGATAAGGCCAAATATCCATAAAGCAAGAAGTTCAGTCTTAAGAAAATTCATCAGAGACAAATAAAGAGAGTGTGGCAGCATAATCTTTTGCTTTGAAAGCAAAATGCATTTTGTAACTAACAAGTTAAATCTTTGAAAGCAATCTCAGAGAGACTTGCATTTGGTACCAGGAATATTAGGACTTTGAAACATCCTTGCTGACTCTTCTTCTGGATAGCTGCAGTATATAATACAAAGGAATATGCTATGTCATGTTACTTGCAGCTCTCAAAGAAATTGTAGTTGCTATTAAGTAGCATAGAATTATCCAATGTTTACTAATTAACGAAACCAGTTTTTTTAAAGTCTTCAGCGACATCAAACATCATCAAAGTAACATCAAAGAAAATATGCTATTAACCAAACTATTCACAAAATAACATTGTATCTTGATAGTAGTATTAGTAGTAGTTGTCCTTCAGGTCGTTCGACCCCTGGTGATGTTATGAACCTGACGTCTCCATTCAGCTCTATTTTTAGTGTCTTTGTTGAGCTGATAAACATTTCTTGTTGTCATCGTCTTAATGTTGTCAAACCACTTTGTTGCAGGTCTTCCTCTTCCTCTTTTCCCTTCAATTTTTCCTTGCATTATCAGTTTTTCTAAACTGTTGTCTGCTCTATTTATGTGGCCATAATGGGTTAATTGCCTCTTTCTGATGGTGTTGAATAATGATCTTTCTGTTTTTATTTGGCCTAGTACCCATTCATTCGTTCTTCTAGATGTCCACGGCACCCTTAGGAGTCTTCTCCATACCCAAAGTTCAAAGGCTTCAATCTTTTTCATTTCTGCTTTTCTTATTACCCATGTCTCACTTCCATATGTAACAACAGGAAATACTAATGCTTCGATTATTCTTTTCTTGGTATTTAGTGTGATGTTTTTGTCTTTCATTATCGTTGTCAAATTGGTCATAGCCTTCCTACCCAGCATTAGCCTCCTTCTAATTTCTTTTGTGTGATCAGATGTTCTGGTTAATGTAATGCCAAGAACATTGAATTCCTGTACTACCTCGATGGATTCCCCATCTACTTCAAAGTTGGTAATTTCTGCCGTCGTCATTACTTTTGTTTTTTTTAAATTTAGTAGTAGCCCTTTTTCCTTGCTTGCTTTCTTAACATTTCTGATAAGTTCTTCCAGATCTTCTTTGGTTTCAGCAATCAGGGTCGTGTCATTTGCATACCTTAAGTTATTAATGAGTCTACCATTTACTTTTATTCCGATGTTGTTTTCATATAGTCCTGCGTTTCTCATAATAATTTCACCATATAAATTAAATAGGTATGGAGATAGAATACAGCCTTGTCTCACTCCTTTGCTGATTTCAAACCAATCTGTTGGCCCATACATTGTTCGTACATGCGCTTCTTGTTTATGGTAAAGATTCTTAATCAAGATTATTAGATGTTCTGGAATTCCCATCTTTCTCATCACAAACCACATAGTGTTATGGTCCACACAGTCAAATGCTTTGCTGTAATCAATAAAACAAAAATATATTTCTTTCTTTACTTCGCGTACCTTTTCCAATATCCATCTGATGTTTGCAATTTGGTCTCTGGTTCCCCTTCCTTTAGTAAATCCAGCTTGCTCAATTGATATTTCTCTGTCAATATAGGGTGTTAGTCTTTTCTGGATTATTTTCAGAAGTATTTTGCTCATGTGAACAATTAAGGATATTGTCCGATTATTTGAACATTCTCTAATATCGCCTTTCTTTGGCAGCGACAAGAAGACAGATCTTTTCCAATCTACTGGCCATTCAGTGGTTTTCCAGATTAGCTGACACAGCTTGCATATGATGTTGAGTGTTTCTTTGCCAGTATTTTTTACCAGTTCAATGGGGATGTTGTCAATACCTGGAGCTTTATTACACGCAAGTTCTTTAATGGCATGTTCTATTTCTGCTAGAGTTGGTTCCGGTTCTTCTGTAAATTCTTCTTCTGTGAAATCATTGGATATGTCTGCATCCCTGCTGTACAAGTGTTGTGTGTATTGTTTCCATCTCTCCTGTATCTCTTTCCCCTCTGTGAGTACTTTACCATTTTGGTCTTTCACTGTTGCCATGCGAGGTGTAAACTTTCCTGTGATCTGTTTTATAGCGCGGAATAGATTTCTTGATTTTCCTTTTGCTTGATTTTCTTCCATATTCCTACAAATATCATTCAAGTATATTTCTTAATCTTTCCTTGCCTGATTTTGAAATACTCTGTTCAAGTTATTAAATGTGGAGAAATCTTTTTGTTTTTTAGCGTTTCGTCGTTCTTCAGCAATCTCTATAGCTTTCTGTGATAACCAATGTGATTTTCTTTTTCTCTCTTTCTTAGGAATGTTTTTTCCCGCAGTGTCAACGATGATATCTTTTGTTATCTGTCATAATTGCTCAACACTAGTGTCCTGTGATTCTAGACATGAGAAACGATTCGATAGCTCGATTGTAAAGTTTGGCGGTATCTTTGTTAAATCATATCTAGCTTGCGCATGTTGCTGTCTTCTCTTTTTTAGCTTTACTTTGATAGTGGCGTGAAGCAGCTCATGATCTGTTCCACAGTCAGCTCCAGGAAGAGTTTTGACTGCCTGTATCGCACTTTTCCATCTCTTCCTGCCCAAGACATAGTCAATCTGATTCCTATGTTTACCATCTGGTGATGTCCATGTATATAGTCTGCGTTTGTGTTGGAAAAACATAGTGTTGGCTATGAACAATTCGTTTTCAATGCAGAATTCTATTAATCATTCTCCTGCAGCATTTTGCTCTTCTAGTCCAAATCTTCCCGTGACTCCTTTTTCTTCATTATTTCCCACTTTTGCATTCCAGTCATTGCATTCCAATTAAAAACAACATATCTTTCTTTGGTATATTATCTAGCACTTCCTGTAGCTCTGTGTAAAACTGTTCTATCACATCATCATCGGCATTTGTGGTTGGTGCATATATTTGTATTATGCTGGTGTTGAAAGGATGTCCTTGAAGTCTTAATGCAATTATTCTGTCATTAACCATGTTATATCCTAGCACTGATTTGCTTATCTTTTTATTGACAATAATGGCAACTCCATTTCTCTTGTATTTTTGGTGTCCTGAGTAGTACACTGTGTGATCACCTTTTCTAATATCCCCACACCCTGTCCATCTCATTTCACTTATTCCGAGTATGTCTAAGTTTATTCTGTCCTTTTCATTTGTTACAACTTCCAACTTTCCTTGATTCATCGTTCTAACATTCCAGGTCGCAATTGTGTGGTTTTTGTTGTTGCGGAACTGCTTTGGTTTTTCATCCTCTGCAGTGTCAGCTATCATACGCCCTAATGGGTTTAGTACAACAGCTTCATTATTGCTAGAATTACTCAATCCAGAGCTGCACCCTTCCTCAGTAGCAAGTTGAGTGCCATCCGACCTGAGGGGCACATCTTCAAGCACTATAGCTATTTTACTTGAGACTGGCATTTTCATAACATTTTCTTGGCAGGATACTGTAGTAGTTTGCCGTTGCTTTCTACAGATTGCAGTTCTCAACTAACTAGAGTTTGATTGCCGCCATTCATCTGGTTGTACCATATTTCTGCTAGCAGTCATAGTGCACGATACTTCATCATTTATTTAGCAAGACCAAATCTCTGCTAAAGCATCTCCACCCTGCTCTGTCGGTGGCGCACGGATGTAGTTTAAGTTCATACCCCAGGAACGATATTTGACCCATATCTGGGACCCTTGCAGGTGCTACCACCCCGGGTCAGGGTGGACCTGAGAGTAGTGGTAATTAAGAGTTAACTCCATTATCCCCAAAACTCTGGATTTCCCGAACCATAGCCTTACCACCGGATGTAGTTTGAAGTCATTACCCAGGACAAAAAGAAATTATAGTTGCTATAATTTAGCACAGAATAATCTATTTTTTACTAATCAACGAAACCAGTTTTGTAGTCTTTTTCAAAGTCTTCAAACAATGTATAGCGAAGAAAAATATTCAAATTACTGTAAAGACAAAGTAACTATAAAGAAAGGAGTAACATCAAAGAAAATAACCTATTATCCAAGCTATTCACAAAATGACATTGTCGCTCGATACCGTAGGTTTATCACTGATCATGCATCCAACTCGATATTTTGCTAAAGTTTTAATACGAACTATAATAAGGAGAAAGTTTCATCTATTGTTTCACTTTTGGAACCATCTGGGTCTTCAGCTGCTTCTTCTGAACCATCTTGGATTCTTTCATATTGCAGAGCAGCTCCTAGATCTGCAGGTGCGGTGGCCATTATAGGCCATTCATGCTCAACTGGCTGGTTTATAGTGTCGCTTTTTATGGCACCATTTTTCCATTCCTGCACAGCATCTGAATTCGCATATAAAAGTATTTTTTAGGTACAAAAAAAAGTAAAATAAGTATATATAAATTTAGACTTTTGAATCAATTACACTGCAGTTCATAACATATTGCGAAACGTTTTAAGGCCTAAATAGCAAAGGATCCAAATGGCTCATAATGAAAGTTGTTACAACAGCCGGCAGTCATCTTCTTCGAAATCCGAAGAATAACTGATTTACTTATATGAATACCCTGCATCAAATTCAAAAGATATGCTCATATCGTGAAGAAGGCCTTCGTCTAAGCTGTTTAGGGAAGATATTTTAAAGTTAGCTGTAGGCAACAAATAAGGTCAGGTGATAGAAAATCGATCAACGCACCGTAAGCTCGCTGAAACAGATTTCCCATGGCTTTCCTACTATTCATGTACTTTAATGGAACTATAAGCATAGAATTTTGTTTGATTCAAATAGATTTCAAAAGCAATTTTTACTGTCACACACGCCCTGATCTCTGCGATCTCGAAAAGTGTTACTACGCATGTCAAATGCCTCTCTTTGACTACGCATGTTTCTCTACACGTGTTTTTCCAAAACATCTTGCTCCTGAGCCAGAAATTTTTCCATGAATTTGAAACCAATTAAATTCAATCCATTTTGACATTGTATATCTACCTTACAAAGGAAGTGCAACTTGAGTTATCACATGAACATTGTATATATATTCTTATAGTGCATCACTCTTGGTTCTTATAAAGAAAAAATCATCTACGAGACAATTATCGATTCACTGCACTGCACACGACTTCCGCCATCAATAACTTTCTTTGCAACTGCATAAAAATAAGTGTAAAAAGCAAGAATACATTGCTGGCTGTTTACCTCAATGGAATTAAATGCTTTATCCTTAAGCGGCATCCTGCTTAAAACCCTTTATGCCTAGCAAATCAAAGCTTGAGCTGTGATAACAAACTGTGAAAGATCAACGAAATCAAACTTGCAGAACTGCCTGCCTACGAACTCAATCTGCTACAATAGCTTTTGTATGCTTCAGATCCAAACACTCTTTACTGGTGCCAAACATTCATCGCCTTTTCGTGAAATAAGATTTTCATCATTTGATGAATGGTAATAATCAGTATGCTGAATAGGCAAACTGGTGCTTTTCAACTTGCTAGGAGACTTTCATCAACAAATTCTACTGATTATTTTCAGACATATTAGAACTGAAACAAACCAATTTTCTTTAATACCCCTTTATCCATCAGGGTCATTTTCAAGTTCAAAAGACGTAGCTGATATGCTATTTCACTTGAAAGTTTGTCATTAAGATTTTTGCGAGTCCACAAAATGGAAAATAATGCAGTGAATCGTTTTATATGAAAATCACAGAAAATTTTCCTCCAATCAGTTAGAGAAATAAAAACGTACCCTTTCAAATAGCGAGAAGATCCGATGGACCATAAGTGTTACTTGCGGGATTTCTTCATATGAGGTTCCCCTCCTGTCTGTTGGTCACAGGATTTGCAATACATTTCTGACGCACTTTAGAAGTAGCATTGCTGTCACTCCAAGAGCAATGATCCCGTCACTACCTCTGAAAGTCCTTTATCGGGGATTTGAATTGCCTTCACAGTTGCATTCAAAGATTATCCCGCAATCAAAGTGCTTCATTTTTCACTCCTTTAACTGTTCATGCATAGTGAACTACACCATATACTTCAATTGGATACCAAAGTCAGGTTTTTTCTATACTGTATGCAAGGATTTAACGCTGTATCCTTGAACCTGGCCACAGTTTGTTGTTTTCCTTGAACAGACTCCATCAAATCGTAAATGGAATGTCCTTTCTGTTCTCTAGAAGATGATTTTAGCCCTGTTCTAGTTACCATGATTATTACAAATATATCCTTTTTCTTGAAAAAAGAGGATAACATTTCCATTGATAAATATTGAAGGTTTTTATGGCAGCACAAAGCTATACTTTTAGAAAAATATTTGCAATCTTTACAAGTTTTGTTCTTTCCAACAAAGGGAATATTGAAACTTTGTTTTTGGAAGAGTTCTGGGTCATCCTTTTTCCGTACCTTCTTGTTTTTAGAAGCTTTTGAGAATTCTCCAAAAAATGGACAATAATACTTTCAAACATTTTTTCGTTTATTTTTCAATTTGTTTAAATTTTATCTTTGCTAAGATGGAGTTACAATTGCTGCCAAAATTGCATAGAATAACCAACACTTGGCACTGTGTTTTTCTATGTTTCGTTTGTTTTCCCGAATGCTACTACTTCCGACCCCTTTTCCCCGAAAACGATGTTGAAAGCATTGAATAATACCTACAAGCCACCAGAAAAAACGCACTCCATATAGTAACTTTCTATAGTAACTCGACATTGTTCCTAAATAGAGAAGAAGAAGGCTGAACTTGCTTTTAAAAACTGATGGCAATGTTCCAAGACTTTTGGCAGTGATTGTACTTTGTAAAGGAATTGTTGCGATACTAGCCTCATAGTCATGAGACCTCTCACGACCTTTTACGTGACCTAAGTGATTTCTAATCAATACGTTCTAAAAATCCTGGGCAAAAGGTTGTGAACAATACACCAACGCGACAAAAATTCTAAGCGAATTCAGTGCTAATCAAATGAAATTTTACCGAGTTAACTTTATGAGGGATTTGATTTCGCTAGAGGTTCTTATTTTATCTAATTTGTATTATTCGCACTTGGGTGTCGATTGTCATGCTTCAATTTGGTATTTAAGTCCTTATGTGCTTCTTTGATGCCATTGGAAATAATAGAGAAGAAGGAGTTCTGTAGTTTGGGCTTCTGCACGAAAGTGTAGGCCCCCTGACTCGGATGGGTATATTTAATTGCTTTGGGACAGGATTATCGTGCTTATTTCGTAAACTGTTTCCATGGTACTTATTATCTTTTTCAGTAAAGTACTTACTCTCACTTTCCAGTCTCTCATCTGGAAAACATTTGCGAACTACAATAGTCTCAGTTTATAAATCTATAAAAGGGTGAGAAAAGGCATATTTTTTCTAACATTAATTAACACGTAGACTTTCCCGAAGTCTATTTTTTGTTAAATCCGTAAGGCATTCGTATTACTGCGAGGGCATATCTATAGTCTCCTCCGCAGTTTAGATATGCCCTCGCAGTAGTACGAATGCCTTACGGATTTAACAAAAAAACTTGCCTAAGAAAGTCTAATTAAAACGCTATAAATAAAAAAATAAGTTATTCTCCTGGAAGTTTAAATGATTTTGCTATTCTTTGCTGCTCGTTTACTGGGCTTCGCGAAAATGATAGGAATTTGTCTGTAAGGCGTTTTCCGTAAGGCAAAAATTCCTTTCTCAGAAAGAGATGCCATAGACATCAGGATGCCAGTTGCTGTCAGTCGTGAAGCTACGTTCCCACATCATCGCGAGCGAGTTAGACCATTTGTGCATAGATGCAATTCGCAGCCTACCATTAATTTCTTAAACACATTAACGAAGAAATTCAATCAATTTAGATAATATAGCTCCCTCAGAAGACACTGCCACATCCCTCCTCAAATCAAGCCTTGAAGCGACATTCCCTTGCTCCACCTAACCCATATAAAACTCTAAACCTTGGATACAACTAGATTGACTCAAGTACAATTAACTTGACGTTCTGGACAGGGAATGAACAAGAAAAATTCACTTTTTCCTACCAGGGAGCCGATGCACCAGTCCTACCTTAGGTATTAGAGGGGAAGATAAACATCGCTGAACTAAGAACCGAGTCTATCCTAAATGAAGAACAAAAGGAGCTTTGAAATCCTGTAACGTAGATAGGCCCATACCCCAAAGAGAACAACAGAATTGACAAGGATCCGAAGTAACACACTATAGAGTACCGAAGTGATGACGTCATAAAAATCTATTTTTACAATTTTTGAAAGTTGTTTCCATAACCTGAAAGAATATCATGAAATACCTTTAAATCTGCAAAATCAGTTACGTATTACGATTTGGCTGAGATATGGCCACATGAGCACAGAATCTTGCCCCATCAAACCTCTATAATTTGGTCTCGGTTCATATAGACAGGACATATAGCCTGACAATCTGACATTCAAGCTAATGTTTACTTTCTCAACGGATT